AAATCCTGCTGGTTTGTTTTTTTTAAATGGGATTTAGGCTCATAAATCATTTAGGCCGCCTTGTTTCAGCCACTGGAACTGGCTGTTCCAAGTGGGGTTGTCTTTGTGACAGATTGTGGTTCCTGCTCCTTCCGAAATCAAGGTGTTCAGTTGCTTTATAGGGCAGTGTCTAGAGCAGCTTCACAGTTGGGTTTATTGTGACTGAGTAGGTGAGAGATGCTCAAGAGCTGATTCCTTGGGGAAACCAGGGACACAGTACAGATGGACCCTCCCCCCTATCACAACTGAGTCTGTGGGGGTTTGCATTTGAATTATCAGGGACATTTCAACAGGAGTGCAGGAAAAACAGTGGAATAGAAGAGAGCTACCAATATCCAGGATAGCAGGAGTATTTGCTTAGGATCATGTAACATAACATTTAAAAGAACAAACAAGGTTAATCAGAGTGCTCCTGCTATTATATTATTGACATTTCCATAGCAAGGGAAATTGGTTGGAAAACAAAACAAACCAAAAAACCCTGGTACCTATTAAATGTTGGCACCAGGTCAAAAATTACTGTCCAATTGTAACTAAATTAGGATAGCCCAATAAAACTAATGGGATCTAGAGGCAAACTCTCACTAACTTTTAAGACTCTTGGCAGATTTATCAACCATTGGAAAGGTCACTACATATATTTGTGGCAAATAGACTTAATTATCCTTTGTTGTTTCTCATAAGACAGTTTGCGACTATTTATTCTTTTTCTTCTGTGGGAGGAGGGAGAAGGGTGGCCAGAAAGTGTTTGAGAAATATTTGAATCTATCAAAACTAGTGAGTCCCTGTAGGTTGATATAGTATGGCTATAATGACTTTAGAGAGACTAATTTCATCATTGCTTTAGAGCTATCTGGCATTGAGAGAGCTGGTATAAAGGCCAAGAGAGAATAACTCTGTTATAAAACATCCCTTGTATAAAGGGTCTTTATACCAGGTACTGAACCACTTCCATCAGCTCTGCAATATGTCTGTAGCAGGCAGAGTGGGGACAGGAAGGGGGTGGCTCAGAAGCAAGAAGAGGCATGACTGGGACATTGTGATATCCTGGATAAGTGAAGCAGCCTGCTCCTCTCTGTCCAACTCCTGTTCTCTCATAGGGAGCATATAGCCAGAGTCCTGCCCTTTATGCTCCACATTGCTCCTGATTAAACGTTTTGCATATGACCTTATGATGGACATCTAACCATGATCAGAACAACTGAGATTTTGACTGCTGCTCATAGCCTTCATCTCATGAAAGCCTTTCCTACATTTTTGGACTGATAGGCAGTAGTAATTCAGCCAAGGAACCCATGGTAGATCCACCTTTATAACTTCTCTTGTATTTTCCGCCTTAATTTGAAATAAACATTTTCAGTCTAAAATGACTTGATTTATCTCTGTGTCTATCCATTTACACAGAGATTGGCCAAGTCAAAAAGGGCAGTCAGGATGGCATTTTCAAAAACAATGAAGGAGGATAGAGCTGACTCAAACTACTTTTTTTACATCGAAATGTTCATGGGGAAGCATCTACCTTCCTCAAAAGAATGTGATTGCTCCTTTTGTTGGAAAACGGAAAAAAAAATAAATTCTGCAGCTTTTGGTTTAAATATTTTGGCTTTTGGTTGTAGAAAATAAACTTTTGGCGGGGGGGAGGTGAGTTAACTATTTGTGACCAAAAAGTCAAAATTTGCCAGTTCATGTCTATTAAAATATGTAGGAAAAAAGTGGAGCTCTGTTTCCTGACTGACTCTGCTTGTAACCTGAAATGGGATTTATATTCCACAATCACTTAGGTATTTTTATAATTTAAATTTCAGGTTTTAACTGCCTTGTGTACTTTTGAATATCTGTTTTCCCCCCTCCCCCCAAGTATCGTTTATAATTTTGTAGATGAAGACTAATTCAGTAGAAATGGACAATTTCAAAATAATGCAGTTGGATTCGTCAGTCACTGTACTGAGACATTCCAAAACTCCTGTCATCTTCATCTGAAAGCCTTCATCAGGTATAACTAGTTCTGGGAGTTGCTCCTGTGGTCTCATTGCCTTGAATTAAGGAATTTAACAGCAACTTGGACCCAGTAGTGAGGGGAATCTGATAGTAATGTCTGCACTGCAAAATGTTCAACTAACAATGTGACTCCTATTGTAGGGTGCTTTGGGCACAGACTGAAACCCAGGAAAGAGATTTTATTTTAGTCAGGAATTGGGGCACATCTGTGCTGGGACATACCTTTTTCCATTCAAGTTTGCAGAGTTCAAAACTAAACCATGTTGAAGGCAAATCTATCTATGAAGACCATGCAGTGTTTTATTGTGAAGAAAGTTCCTCTTCAAACATCTTTCTCATATGACATTTCCACACAGCCATAGACAGCATGGAAATCATATTACTGCCATGATTTGCTAGTCTGATACTTTCATTAGGAAACACTGAAATAAGTGACTTTTGGAAATCATGATGTAGAAACAGAAATGGTCTTAGCAGATGCACTGTAGCTTTAAAGTATTTCATTGTTGAAAATAACACAAAAACAATAATTCATGTTTATGGGCTTGTTTTTGTGTGGGTTTTTTTAATTACTAGAAATATGAAAGTAACATGAACATTGATCATGGTATTTCAAGGTAAACTTGTGAATTTTGTTGTACATGGCACACGCTTTACATTTTCATATTTACCTTTTAGCCCACACAATAAAGCTCAGCAGTACAATACATATGTGCCTGCACACACACACGGTCCCTGCCCCATAAAGCTTACAATCAAACTGATGATTTCAGAAAAAAAGGGACATGCTTAGACAGATGGTGGAGGGCAGTGGATAGAGTTCACTCGGTAGTTTTTCTCCTATTTGCCAGGCTATTTCTTGCTGAACATAGTTTTCTGCCTCAACTTCCTTTGTGTACATGCTGCTTATACAAATAGACATAGACATTAGGGCTGGAAGGGACCTCGGAAGATCATCGAGTCCAGCCCCCTGCCCAAAGGGCAGGAAGTCAGCTGGGGTCATAGGATCCCAGCAAGATGAGCATCCAGTTTGCTCTTGACATCGCCTTTCTTGAAGACAGTCACTATGCTGGCATCCTCAGGTCTCCAGGATCTCTTTGTTGGTCCAAATTCATAGAATAAATTTGTTGCGTCTCAGTACCGGCCCCTCGCTGCCAGCCTTGCAGATGCCAACAGCTATGACATTCGTCCAGTAGCCTGGTTCTCGGTCTCCTGGACGGCACGCCGTACTTCTTCTAGGACAGGAGGGCTGGTGAAGAACCCCTTTTCAGGGTGCTGAGGGATGGACTCAGCGGTAGCATCTGCCACGAACGATTCACGGCTCAGGGGTGCCTCAAAGTGCTCTTTCATCTACCCCGGAGAGATTCGTGTTCCTTGAGAAGCGCCGAGCCAACCTGTGATCACAGGAAAGTAGGCCTGCAGATGGCTTTCATTGCCTGGAAAAGGCCACGCACGTCAAGTTTGTAAGCAGAGAGCTCCATCTCTTTGACTTTCTCTTGCCACCACTGATTTGGGATCTCCCAGATCCTCCATTGAGTTGGCCTTTGAGGAACGGACATGTCTCCTCCTTCCGCTGAGATGAGATGACATCTTGCCCAGGAGAATGAACCCTTTTCCTCCAGTCGGGGAGTGCTTGGATATGATCTGAATAATCCCATTTGCTGCCCTCTGAAACCACCATTTGGTGGATGGTCGCTTATTTTGTCAGTGGCACACTGTCCACTCTTAGGAGGGATATTCTGGGCTGAAAATCCCATTCATTGGTTAAAAAAACTAGGCCTCTGCAAAGTGGCTAGTATTCGCTTTGGATTCAGATTTGGCTGATTCAGGGGACAGTGATTCAATATGGTGACTTGAATCACTGTCCCAATTCGATTCAGGTGGATTAGCCAGGCCCGGCCCATCCCCTGCCCCTCTTGCAGCCTGGTAATGGCTGCCCCAGCTACTGGCACTTTGTTTAAAAAAAAAAAAAAGCGCCAGTGCTCACTGGCTGCTGCTGGGTGGGGGGCGATCCCCGCTGCCTTCCACTGCCCCACCCTGCATGTGGGGCTCTGAACGAGCTCACTTCCCCCAGCACCCCCATGGTTGCCCTGCCCGGGCCAGCTCTGGCCCTTTACAGAAAAAAAAACCCCCCAAAACCCTGCCCCCCACACTTGCTGCTCTTGTCAGGGTGGAGTGATCCCCACTGCTACCCACTGCCCTGAACCATGTGGGGGGAGCCCCTGAAGCCTGAAGGCCGCTGCAGGTGCAGTGAGTCCCTGGGGCTTTTCTTTATTATTATTATTATTATTATTATTATTATTATTATTATTATTATTATTATGGTTGGTTGGTGGTTTGTTTTTTTTCCTTTAAAGGGCCAGAGCTGGCCTGGACAGGGCACCCATGGGGGAGTGGTGGGGAGTCACGGGGCTCATGCAGAGCCCCCAAGCAGCATGGGGCAGTGGAGGGCAGCAGGGATCACCCCCCTGCCTGGCAGCACCCGATGAGCAACGGGGCTTTTTTTTAAAGTACCAGGGACTCAGGGAGCGGGGGGAGTCGGCGGGGCTGGCAGGGGTCCCCTCCCATGGTCTCCCCCCACCCTGCCCCTTGTACTTACCAGTTCAGAGTCAGCTCAGCCCAAATCTATTTGGACCTTTAAAATTGGTCCCCTGGTTCAATTTGGATTCAGAGATTTGGCCACCGAGTGGGGCTGAATCTCCTCTGCTTCAAATCAGTACCTGAAGCTTCACACAGCCCTAAGAAAACCTGCTTCTGAACTGCTATAGCTAGCACTAAAACAAACTTTGAAACAACAGCAACAAGTAGTTTCTTTCTCCTTATGTCTCAAGCACTATTAGCACAGTCTCCTTTTAAGTGAAAAAGGGGCATATTAAAAAATCCAGAAATGTGACTGAGGAATAAACTGTGGTGAATTTAAATAATCAAATATTTTTGTTGTAAAGAGAAGCAGAAGTACATACCTTTCTGGGATAAAGCTGTTACCACGGTTTTCAGTGTGTGCAAGAGGCTCAGGGAGATTTATTTCCTTCAGCAGTATTGTCAGGACTTTTGTCGTAGACTGTGTCCCCTGTACAAAGAGGGGGTTCTTCCCAGGGCGCAGAACTTCCACAAGGTCTAGCTACTGCTTGTAGAAGAAGCCTGGAATTTCTTCAGTTCAAAGGTGTTCAGATCACCTGGAATTTGTCCTGAGCAAATTCTGAGAAGGGGCTTCAGCCCTTATTGGAGTCTCATTGGATGGTCTCAAAAAGGGAATCAGAAAAAGGAGAGAGCCTCTAGGAAACAGAAAAAGAAGACAGATCAGCAAAGATACCCACATCCTCTTTTTATTTTAGGAGATGTTATCAAATACTTGATAAGCAACTATGCCCTGACAGTGCATGCTCTCTTCCTGTGTGTGTAGTACAGGGCTGGATTAACCCTTTAGGGGGTCCTAGGCAAACAAACTCATGGGCCCTGGGTCAGTCAAGACCCTCGCTCCCCACCCCAGTGCTGCCGCCCACAGGGAGCGGGGCTTGGAGCTGCTGCTAGGAAGCAGCTGCTGTGACAGTGAGGTTGGGGGAAGGGAAGGGAAGGGAAGGGAGGTGGACTGGGCCATTCATGCCGCTGCCATGGAGGGAAGGACTGGGGCCTCCCCACAGCTCATGGCCCTAAGTATGTGCCTATCTTGCCTATGCATTAATCTGGCCCTGGTTTAGTATATAACCAACTAGTGTTTAATTTGTGCTAGAATAATAATTGCTCCAAGAGCAGAACATATACTTAAGAGGGGAAAGTGCAGTATGGGTGAGGGGGCCCTAGAGACTGGAATCCAAAATTCCTTAGTCCTAACTCTGCCTCAGATGCTGATGTCTTTGGAGCCTTTGGAAAGTCATTTAAACTGTACGTCCCATTTTCCCACTTGTAGGTTAGAGATAGGAATATGTGCCTGATTGATTCTCAGAGGTAGTATGAGTATTTATAATACACATAGAGGTGAAGTGATGGTGCTATGTGGTAAGGGTATGAGGAAAAAGGAAGAATGGTAATGTCAAAGGAGGAGTGGGGCTTAAGTAGGGAAAAATGTTCTGGGTGTACTGGGTAGCAGCACTTTGAATCACTATTCCCTGAGGGCAGCAAATCAAAGGTGCAGATGGTCTGGTCCAAGTTCACCTTTTCCATTGAAGTTTGGGACTTGAGGGTTCGAAGTGGAAGTTTCTGTAGTTCCCCAGATTCAAAGGGGTTTGAATTTGCATGTCCTGCTTTGCCTTATTTGCAAAGATTGTGGTACTTTGTCCAGCTGCATCTGAGTTTCTACTGTTTTACCCACCATTCCAGGCAGTTCCCCCACAAGACCTAGGAGTACTCAGAGTTCAGCGCTCACCTTTCCTTTTCCCTCCACAATAAAAACGATTAGGGAAGCAACTGGGGATATTTGCCTTCACCACAAGTAATGATCTGTAGTATTTGGTGTCCCAACCAGTCATGTTGCCCTGTGCACCACATAGTGCTGGGAATATGGAATAGCATATCAGATTCAAACTCCATTGAAGGGAAAGTTGTTTTTTTGTTTTTTTAATTAAAAATAGGGAAGAAAACAGAAAGAAAGCCAATTGGTGGCTGACAGTGCTTAAGACGTTTCAGCTTTTGGAAGAATTAAAATAAGTGGGACTTCATTATGTAGCATCTCTGGGTGCAGACATCCCACTGTAGTGCGGCTACATACCACTCACTCAGTGAAACTCATTCACTGCCAGCCACACTGGTGTTCTCCTCGGTTGTCCATCCTGTCGGACTACCTGCAGAGCAGACCAACTGTTCCTTGCAAGGTACTGCTCCTCCCTCTTAGCAAGTGAGATGTGGGTCTTTTCTTTTCCCTGGGTACATGCTTTTCAGTTCTCATGGCTAGACAGGGTGTGAAGGTCTAATGGCCAAGCAGCTTTTGCCAGTATCTCTTTCATGGTGTCTTGAATATTTCATGAAGACATTTGTTTTTCAGATGAACTGGTTCTCTGCCCTGAATGCACTTGGTTATTGGCACTTCAGTGACACTCTACCTGCCACTAGCAGAAAAGACTGCAATTCACCTCATTCCTTCCCTGCCATCATTACTGCTAGCTAACATTGGAATTGGTAGTAGCTGTAATGACACACATGCTGCATATTTTTCACATGTGACTTTTGTGCAGCCTTATCTTTGAGGGGAGTCTACTAGCTATGGCAAACAAGCATCTGAAATTTCTAAGCATCTAAAAATGACTGCTGAGTGCACCTGGAATCTCATCATCATTTTCCTCACAGCTACTACCCTCACCAACCCTTATCTCACATGCAGCTGATTTCTTTTCTTCCAGTAAAGACCCATACTAATGGCTTTGTACACCTGGATAATTCCTTTATGAAGAGGGCATCACAGTCAGTAGAGGCCAGAAACTTGCTCTCTGTGTAAAATAATTATAAATTATGCCTTGCCTCCTTTCATTGCCTTCCCTCTAGGAATATACAGACAGCTCATTTGCCAAGTGACCCTGCAGTTTTTGTTAGTACATAATAAGTTGATAACATATTATCTGTGGCTTAAATATGCCATGTTCAGTTGAACTACAGGGGCAGCTCCAGGTAGTCAGAACTGAGTTACTCAAGCCATGATTTACCCAGAACAACAGAGATTGGAGTACACTTCCCTAGATTTATAGATGCTAGGGTCAGAAGGGACCTCAACACATCATTGAGTCTGACCCCTTGCCCTGGGCAGGAAAGAGTGCTGGAGTCAGATGACCCCAGCCAGATGCCCATCCAGCCTTCTCTTAAAGACCCCCAAGGTAGGGGAGAGTACCACCTCCCTTGGAAGCCCATTCCAAGTTTTGGCCACTCTTACCATGAAGAAGTTTTTCGTGATATCTAGACTAAATCTGCTCTGTCAGTTTGTGACCGTTGTTCCCTGTTACCCAAAGAGGCACCCTGGTGAACAGCGCATCTCCGATCCCTTGCTGCATCCCCACAATGAATTTATAGGTGGCCACAAGATCACCCCTCAGCTTCACTTTTCTTGCAGAGGCTGAAGAGGTCCAGGTCCCTCAGTGTCTCCTCATAGGGCTTGTCCTGTAAGCCCCTAACCATACGAGTGGTCCTCCTCTGGACCTTCACGAGTCTATCAACATCTTTCTTGAAGTACAGCGCCCAAAACTGGATGTAGTACATCAACTGCGGTCTGACCAATGCCGCATAGAGGGGAAGTATCACTCCTTGGATGTATTTGTCATTCATCTGCTGATGTGTGATAAAGTGTGGCTCTGCTGATGATTTAATCGCACTGACTCATGTTCATCTGAGAATCCACTATGACTCTGAAATCCCTTTCCACTTCTGTGCTGCTGAGAGGCTAACCTGTCCAGGTCTGCCTGCAGTCGTTCCCTACCCTCTGGAGTATGCACTTCACCCCACAATTTAGAATTGTCTGCAAACTTGGACAGAGTACATGTCACATCCACATTCAACTTGCTGATAAAGGTATTGAAGAGTACAGGTCCAAGGACCGAACACTGTGGGTCCCCACTACCCACATCCTTCCAGGTCGATACTGACCTGCCTACTACCACTCTCTGGGTGCAACCGCTAAGCCAATTTGCCACCCATTGGACTGTGTAAACATCTGTCACAGCCTCTTAATTTATTCTATTGTATGGGTTCTTTAATGGTTAACATTTAATTTTAATCTACAACAGCTGCTAGCTGCGGTGGGGCTGACTAGGAATCCAAGTCTCCCAATGTTTTCAACTCCAAGTCTCAGTTTTCCTTGAACATCTCTCCTTTTATCATTTATTCGTTTGTGAAATCCTGTGTATTCCAAGGTTATGTGGGTATAAATCATATACTGTATGAGTATCAAGTAGGTTATTCCTCAGTGGGACAGTGTTTTTATTTCAAATGTCATAACCACACTGGAGAGAATTCAAAATTATAGCATGGCAGAGCAAATGCTGGGTGAATTTCCCCCTTCAAGGAGAATGTAGCCTTTTATAGAACTTGGTAATTCTTGGGTACAGCAGTAGAGTAGGAAAGGGAGTTTGATGTTAAATGTTTGGTGGTTGCACCGTTCCTCTGCACACCCCCCACCCCCCAGTGGTTTGCCAGCGTTTCGGAATTAAACTTGAATTTTATTTATTTATTTGTCATCTCTCTATTGGAAGATGTCGGACCCTTTGCAGGCTGGGAAGAGCAAGATGATTCAAAGCCCAGGTGTATTCTGCATGCAACTTGCTCATTTCTTTCTCTATGTTCACTAATTCTTGAGCAAACATGGTCACCAACAGCCTACAGGGAATCCTGCCTTTTGCAATTCTCAGCCCTAAAACCAAAGCTTAGTATCCAGGTAGAACTTCTACCTCAGGAATTGTCTGTAATTAAAAAGAGGAAAGAAGAGCACAGACTCCTCTACAATGTGCCACAACTTTGCCAGAGGAAACTGCCTCATGGAAACAAACATCATCAAGCATTTCTTCAAAGACTGAAGGGGTTACTACATGTAGAACAGGGATGTATACTCATTAGGCTCCATGGGCTGGATGAATTGTGCAGCTGGGCCCTCCTCCTGGCCCTGCATGCTAGATCTAGTGCATGGCCTGGCCCGGCCCAGCCTAGGTACCACATGCAGCGCCTGGGTCTGATCGAGCATGCACCACATCCAGCATATGGGTCAACTCCGAGAACCCTGAGCAGTACCATGGGCTGAATGATGAGGCTGTGAATGCCAGATCCAGCCTGTGGGACGTATTTTTGACGCCCTAAGGTAGAAGCATCACCTGGAGCCATTACAGCTAGAATGAAAGCTAGAAACTTGACTGTTTTTGTAAAATACTCAGGATTAACAGTGTGCTACTTATTTCTAGTACTGCCCAGGCAACAGTCATACCTGTTTGGGAATTTATGGTTCCCCCCCTTCTACCCTGCACTCCCCATTGGAAACTGCTGATTCAGCCAAAGGTGAAATGCTGTCCCAAGCCTATCCGTTTTGAGAAGTGTGTGTGTGCGTGCATGCATGCATGCTCATGCCCTCACCAGCAGCCCATAATGTGTGTGTTTGTGTGCACTTATGCCCTCACCAGCAGCCTGTAGCTGGTAGAGTTGGACTCTTGTTCTGCATGGCTGGTGAATGTTTACTTGTTTCTGTGAGGGGGGGGAAGGTCCAGAAAGGCAAAATGGCTGAAACTTGACTCAGTAATCAAGTGCTTAGGCCCTTACTTAGGACATAAAACTTGGGTTTTTCCCAAAAAATTGCCAGTGTTAGAATATTTCC